GAGCCGGGATGACACCGAAGCCTGAGCCACCCCAGCACCCTTCCCACTGGGACACATCGCTGCTGGGGACAAGACATGGTTTGGGTCTCCAGAGGTCCCTGGAAGGTGGAATCATCCTGGGTAACTCCACGGAGACCCTGCCCACCACGGCAAAGCCATGGGACGGGACTGCTGCACCTGCAGTCCCACACCGGGGCACAGGAGACCCCCTCCACACACCCAAAACACAGTGTATGAGACCCCTTGTCCCCAAGGGGCTGGCTTTTGTCACAGCCCCTCTCTCTGCACGGGCCAGCAGGAGTGAAGAGGGTGGCTGGCTGATCCGAGAAGTTATTTTGCAATTTAAAACGTCCTGTTGCTCGGAATAAAAGGCACTTTAATAGGAGCCTTTAAAGCAAATGAGGTTTGTATGCGCAGCGCTGATGGGATTTAGTGATCTCTTTAAAAGCCCCCGTTCATCTCCCATCAATGGGGTTTGCTATCCTGAAGCCACTTACGGTTTTATTGCCACTTGATGTGACTGGACTACACCGCAAATCGATGCTGAGTGCTGTCACTTCGATGGCTCTTCCCAGGGCACCCGGAGCCTGCCCGGGGTCGCTCCAGCCTTTGCGTGTGTTGCAGGGGACAGCGGTGACTTTGAAAACCCCAGTTCTGTGCCAAAAGCTTGGCACTCTCCTTGAGCGTTAACGAAGATACTTGTGCTTTTGAGGTGGAGGAAGCTATGTGCAATCATGAGTGTAACGGTGGCCTGAGCAGGTTTTGATTAAAATATTGCAGATTTCTGAAATGAGGTCTTGGGAGATCTGGGGCTGGATGTTAGCTTTTTTGTGGGCTGGGGTCGCACTTTGGTGGGAGAGAAGCCCAAAGCCCAGGGATATTCTTGGTTAACTACCAATAAAATTAGTTGTCTACCAGACGTTTCTTCCTCGTTTCCAGCCAGGAGCTGGGGTAGCACTTGGAAAAGCCAAATAGGCCAGTGGGCCAGTGCTGGTGCTTCTGGTGAGGATGAAATTGAGTGAGGGGTCTCTGGTCTCTCTTGGACCAGAGGACTTGTTGCATTGCTTGTGCTACAGATACTGCTGTGAACTGGAAACCGTTGCAATTGTCTAAAACAGCCCTGTGACCTTCTCGTGGTGTCACCAGCACTTGTCCTCTTACACCTTCGTCCCTCTTACTGGGCAGGATGGGCACAGGAGCTAAAACTGACACCAGCCGCTTCCTGTGCTGGTGCATTCCTGGCTGGTCACAAAGCAGCTGGGCTTTGGCTGTTTTGTCACGGAAATAGTTGTGATGTGGCCCAGAACTTGGTCCGTAGGCTCAGCTTGCCTCGATGCCCAAAGCATGTCTCACCGGCAGGACGGGACTAGCAAAGTCCCTTCTTGTGGCCAGTGCTGCTGGATTATTTCCCATGGCATGAGTCCTCACTGAGGGTGTTGCTTAAACTGCAGCTGTAAACTCTCTCTGGCCTTGAACCCAAACTCACCCACCTGAAAACATCGGCTCAGCAT